ATTTAAAATGAGTTATTCCCCTGGCTGCTAGTATCTCCCACCTGGCAAGGAGCTCAGGTGTCTGATGATGACAGAGGTGGTTTTCAGTTTCTTTTGGTCTCTTTATGACAACTGATTCACATTGGTTTAACTTCTGGAAGAAATTACTGTAATAGTTCTACGTACCTTTTCCTCCATCCATTCGCTGTTTTGGAAGTACCAATAACTTAAACAGCTCAGGCTGGTTCTGGAAAGTAATTTAGAATTATGCTAAAAAGTAAACAAAATACCCATACTCCTTGATTCACTGCTAGGCATTAACCTCATGGAGGTCAAAGACAAAGGTCCCATTATACATCAAAATATTCACATTAGACCTTTTTTTTAGTAGCAAAGAATTGTAAATGAAAGAGATGTGCATTGAAAGGAAATAGATAACCTGTTATGGTAAATGAATGTAAAAGTACTGTGTAACAGCAATACTGTCTGATGATCCACTGTGAATGACTTAGCTCTTCTCAGCAGTACAACGATCCAAGACAATTCCAAAGGACTCAAGATGGAAAATACTATTCACCTCTAAAGAAAAAACTGATGGAGTCTGAATGCAGGTTGAAGCAGACTCTTTTTCACATTCTGTATTTTTTCTTGTTCTGCCCCCCACCCCTTGGATCTGTATCTTTTTTCACAATGTGACTAATATGGTAATACGTTTTGCATGATTGAACATGTAAAATCTATATTAAACTGCTTATTATCTCAGGGAGGGGGGAGGTAAGGGAGGGAGAGAGAAAATTTGGAACTCAAAAATATTTTTTAAAAAAATTTATTTATTTTTAGTTTTCAACATTCACTTCCATAAGATTTTGAGTTTAAAATTTCCTCCCCCTACTTCGCTCTGTCCTCCCCAAGATAGCGTGTAATCTGATATAGGCTCTACATACATATTCATATTAAACATATTTTCACATTAGTCATGTTGTAAAGAAGAATTAGAACCAATGTGAGGAACCACGAGAATGAAGCTATAAAACAAAACAAAGGAAAAGGAGAGCAAATAGTATGTTTCCACCTGCATTCAGACCCCAGAGTTCCTTCTCTGGATGTGAACAGAATTTTCCATTATGAGTCTTTTGCAGGAATTCCAAAAAAAAAAAAAAAAGAATGTTAAAAATTATCTTTACATGTAACTGGGGAAAATATTAAAAATATTACTGTGTTGTAAGATGATGAAGAATTCAAAGAAGCACCAAAATATGTATGTAAACTGAGGAACAAAGTAAACTGGGATGACGACACCCATGGTCACAACACTGTATGTGGAAAACCCCAAAGGACCAAACAGAATCCTATGTAGTGCTAATGGCCACGTCCAGTTCCAGAGAAGAGCTGCTGAAATGGAGCGTCCTGGGGCAGCTAGATGGTGCAGTGGACAGAACACCGGCCCTGAGGTCGGGAGGCCCTGAGTTCAAATGCGGCCTCAGACCAAACATTTGACACTTACTAGCTGTGTGACCCTGGGCAGTCACTTAACCCCAATTGTCTGCCCCCCCCCCAAAAAGAAATGGAGCTTCTTTCTTCAGAGATGGTGGGGCTACCAGGACAGAGAATATCGCTTGGATCATCACAGACCCCGTTCGTGAGCCATCTGGTTTTGCCAAATTGCTTTTCCTTCTCTTCCTGTTCATTTGTGGCAGGGAGGTGTGCTGGCTCTGTGGGAGGCGCTTCGAGGAGGGCTCTTGTCATAGTTCTTGTCTGGGGCCAAGCTGGTTCTTCGCAATTGTGAAACATTCATCATGCGGTTTTTCTTCTTCACTGGCATGTCTTCTTTGTTCCGCTTATTTTATTTCTCATCAGTTCACGCGAGTCTTTCCAGGATTCCCCACACTCACCAGGCTCACTGCTTCTCACAGCACAGTAACATCTTCCATTCCATTCAGGTACCACAATTCTCCTCATTCCTCTATCAACAGGCACTGATCCCCTCCCCCCAACCCCCTTCCTGGCTACCACACAAGGTGTACTACAAATACTGGTGTATAATGGGCCCATTTCTTTTCCCTCTTGGGGTATGTGCCTAGCAACGGAATCCATGGGACAAAGGGTATAGACATCCTGGTTACTTTACCTGCTGACCTCTTCATTGCTTTAAGAATGGTTAAATGGATTCGCAGCTCTCCTTACAAGGGCCTGTCTTTCTACAGCCTGTTCAATGGAGGAGGAAGAGGCGGACGAGGAGAAGAAGAAGAGACAAGCAGACAAACGAGGGAGAGGGGAGAGAGGGGAGGGAAGCTAGGGGGAAAGATGAAATGGAGTTCTTTGTGCTTACAAAATAGTTCATGTGTAAGTGCAACAATGGCTAAAGCGTGGTTCACGGTAAATGGCAATAGCAGCCACAACAGCACTTTTGAAGTTGGCAAAGAGCTTCATATGTATTTCCTCATTTGATCCCCACAACAACCTTGAGAGGCAGGTGCTGTTACTGTCCTCATTTTATAGATGAGGAAACAGGGCAAGAGGGAGGGAGGAGAGAGGAGTCAAGTGACTTGCAGAGTCAAGCAACCAGTAAGTGTCTGAGGCAGAATTTGAATTCACGTCTGACTTTGAGCTTTACTGTTTGTTGCTGGGCCAACAGAATGTAACGGGGTCAGAGGCCCAGCAAGGGCTTCAAATATCTGCACATTACACGAAGAATATTGTGGTAGCTAAAAATACACCCCGAAGGAGGCTTAGAATGACCTCTGGTAGCCGGAAATCATCTAACACAATATGGACTCTGAGTCTCCTAACACCCAACTCAACTGTCCTAACAGAGGATCAATTCAGAGGTATTCAGCAAAAGTCAACAAGCCCAGTTAACCACTGCTGTTTCATCAACTTATTTTATTCAGCATTTGTGTTGCTAGTATTAAACATACCACCCACCTAAGGGGTTGAGCTAACACAAATTATCCTATTCTCTCAGGGAGGAAGACTTTTATCAAGTGACTTGATCAATACTGGAGTAATTTAAAAATAAATATCTACATAGTAAATACTTCACAGGTTTCTTCAAATAGAAAAGGAATGAAGCACATATATAGGCATCCCAAAATGCCTCTGCCAGTGAAGACAGATGAAGCTTTTCTCTGCTGTCTATCAAAAAGCCAATTCACTAGATGAGATTCAGGGGATGTAATCATAGGAGTAGTTAATCTGTGGTCTGAAGTAATAGTTAATCTTTCTTTTACAGTCACTTTGAAACACGCAAAACACATTTTTTAACACAAAAAACAAGACATGTTTAAAAAGAGATTAACTTATTTTAAATAGTCTTTCAAATTAAACATATATCAGATCTTTCTTCCTTCTAAGATTACTCTCCTGCAAGATATCCAAGTGATTTCACTGACACACCTTCCACTCTCTCCCATTGGATTATGATCTCTTTTAAACAGACAACAGGGGGTTTGTCTTTTCACGCTAAACTGTGTAAACATGTGTGAATCTGTAAGTCATTTTCCTTCTCTGCATAATATTTAAGTTATTTTCACTTATCAATTTCCAGAAACAACCTACGCATTAAAAGGAGAAATTCAGATGAGAAAAAAAGGCACTAAAAAGCTTATCACTACAAAACGAAAATCGTTTCAAAAATTCTGCACATTTCATTGTCTAAACACATTGTGGACACTCAGGTCCTGAACAAAATGACCAAAGCATATATTTTTCTTAATGACAATGTAACAGAAGGACCGGGTGATAAGCCACACAACAATAATTTTATCTGTCACTAACTTAATAAAAGGTAAGGGTAATCATGAGTCGGAAACCTAAAAATACAGCAAAGTCCATATCGCTAGAGAACTATTTCAAGGTTTAATCTTTTTTGGTTTAAAGAATCCTAAAGTAGTGTTATATATGTAGCACCTAAATGTACATTCAAGTTAATTCAATTCACTGAGTATTTATTAAGCACTTACTATGTGCCAGTCCCTCCATTTCTCCTGCTCCGTCATCCATCCTCCCACTAGCCAATCCACACTGCAGTTTCTGCCTTCTCCATGCAAATGACCACCTTTCTGCTTCTGTCCTTGATCCCATTTTCCCCCTTTCTCCTCCAGGACGTGGCCCCTTCTGACAACTTCACCTGCCACTACACACATTTCTTATTCAAAGGACTTCTATTTTTACTCCCCCTCACAAAAATGCCTAGATATCTCCCATCCTTTAAAAAAAGACCCAAACCTTCATTTGATTCAGTCAAGCTACCACCTTTTATCTTTCCTCACTTCCATGAACTCCTAGAAAAACCCGTCTATCCTAAACTTTCTCAAAGCACACTCACTTCTCCATCTCTTGGAACTGCGTTTCCGACACATTGATCACTCTATGCTTTCGCACAGGCGGAGCTCTTTTCCTGGAATGGACTCCCTTCTAATCTCTGCCTTTTGGAATTGCTTCCTTCAAAGCTCATTTCCAGGGCCGCTGCTTTCAGGAAGTCTGTACTGCCTACCTCCCATGTCTCCGGATCTCTTGAAAGAAATTAGATGCACCTATATTATACGCATTTAATTTTCTACGTATACTTCATAATCTTGGCGCCGTGAAGAAAAGGGGTGTTTCCTCTCTGTCTCTGTCCCCCCGGTATCTGATGAAACGTCTGGCACACAAATGGCATTCGATAGATGTGGCTGAAAGAAGGCACTGACTGTGTCTGTGGTACAAGGGATCAAGCGGCAACAGAAGAGAAAAGAGCTCTGGTGGCACAGACCTGTCGAGTGATGGCTTCTTAACACCAAAAAAGGAAGTAACAGAAGGATCAGGGATTTCAGAAGGGAAGACCAGAACGGCAAAGAGTAACAGGCTTGTAAGCAAGAACAACTTCTGTGGAAACCAAAGATGGGGCAGAACACAGGACCCATCCTTCGGGCTTACCAAGGTGTGCCATTACCAAAATACCGGGGAACAGGAAGAGAGAGACGGAAGGTAGCATACCTGTAAGATCATGTTAACTCTAAAAGCCAACTCCAGCTACTCACCATCCATGAGGAGCCAGTGGCCAGTCAGAACCCAGATGAGGACAAGCATGACAGAAAGGGAGAAGGAGAGCAGCTCCGCAGCAGTGAAACGTCCACAGCAGCCAAAGGAAATCCTAGAAACAAGCCATCAGCACTGGCAGATTAGTGAGTGAACAAAATCACCTCTGGTCCTTAGAGAGCAGAAGCTCAGTGATACAGTAACAACAAAATGAACCAAGATGCTTTACAGGCAGCAGGTACAAAAACATCTGCTGACCCAGATAACCTCAACCTTCTTTGGACTGGGTCATACAAGGTTCAGAGGAATTTCAGGGCTCATCAGGGTAACTGGCTCTTTAACTCAAACTATTAACATGAGTGCTAGCAGGTGCTACACAGATTATGTCTAAGGAAAGTAAACAAGGAAATTCTTTTCATGAATGAGCAAATAAAGTATTTACTAAGAGCTTACTAAGGGCAAAACAGTTACTTTAAGCCTAATAGGTTACACCGAAAATATGTACTCTTATTCTGTACTTAACTGCTGGGAAATTCATTTGCTTTAGTAAGATTAGTCCACTAAAAGTATGGTATAAAAATGGAAAATGGAAAATGCTGAAGGGGTCTTGGAAAATCTGGTAGATTCACTGTTGGAGGAGCTGTGAATTCGTGCAGCCATTCTAAGACGAAGTTTGGAACTTTTCCTAAAAAACTGGTAAGATGCCCTTACTCTTTGACCAGTAATACCACTCCTACGTCTCCACCTACAACAAAGAAATCAAAGAGGAAAAAGATCTATATATACAAAAATATTTACAGCAGCCCCTTTTGTGGTGGCAGAGAACTGGAAACTGTGGGGATGTCCAACGATTGGGAAATGGCTGAACAAATTATACGAATGGTATGGTATTGACTACTGCTGTGTTGTAAGAAAAGGTAAAGGGGATGATTTCAGAGAAACCTGGGTAGACTTATATGAACTGATGCAAAGTGAAGTAAATAGAACCAAGAGAACAATTTAAAAAAGGTAAGTTTTATTGATATTTTTTGTTTCTCACATCATCATAGCCATTCCATTAGAGCCATTATATTCCATTATAGCCATTATAGCCCAATTATCCCGCTCCCTCCCAGAGTCATTCTCACACGACGGTATTTTTTTTTAGAGGAAAAAAAAAGTCAACACAACGGATTCGATACGATGAGAAAGTCTAAAATGTGGACAAAGCATAACATCTGTGGAAATCTCACCAACCCTTGATGTCCTGCTGTGTCTTTCTCTTTCCACTGTCGCAGTTATTGTGTATATTGTGTTCCTGGCTCTGCTGCCTTCCCTCACTCAAATCAAAGTCACTTACGAGTCATGGCATCATCTCCCTGATGTCATGGTCCTCTTCAAGAATGAAGGACAAACACAACAACCAACCCTTTTGGCCAGTAACCCTGAGGGTCTTCCCCTCCCAGATGGATTTTCTTTTCTTTTCTTTTTTTGATTAAAGGGGCCATCCCTTGACTCACTTCTTAAAGAGAGGCACCTATTTACTGAATGGCTTCACTGAATACTTTACTCAAAGTGAGAACCTGAAAAGACCTCAGCTTAAAAGGGCCAGGGTCTCCCACTGCATCCAGGGCCATCTCCAATCGTCTTGATGAATATCTGGTCACCGGACCCAGATGGCTCTGGAGGAGACAGTGAGGCTGGTGACCTTGCACAGCCCTTCCTCGCCCAAATCAAAGTCAACTGCAAGTCACGGAATCTCCCTGATGTCATGGTCCTCTTTGAGAACAAAGGACAAACACAACAACAATCGCGTAGATCTTTTCTGTATTTCTCTGTATTTATCACACACGTCATTTCTTACAGCACAGTAATATTCCATTACATTTATGTATTACAATTTGTGTTAGGCATTCCCCAATTAATGGCATCTTCGGATTTCCAATTCTTAGCTATCATCAAAAATGCTGCTATAAATATTTTGAAGTATAGGGGGACTTTTTTTTTCTTCTGTCAATGGCTTCCTTGAAGTGTAAGCTCAGTAACAGAGTCTCTGCTTAAAAGGATAGGGATATTTTAATCACTTTATTTACATAAAACCAAATTGCTTTCTAAAATGTACCACTTCACAGTTCTACCAACAGTGTATTTATTAATGTGCCTATCTTTCTTAAATCCTCCAACACTGTTGCCATTTTTTGCCACTTGTGAGGTTGGACCTCAGGGTTGTTTTGATTTGCATTTCTCTTATTATTGTTGACTTAGAGCATTTTTTTTCATGTGGTTGTGAATACTTAGTTCTTCTAAATAATCCTTGTTCATATCCTTCGACCATTTATCTATTGGGGAATGGCTATTTTACACACACACACACACACACACACACACACACACACACACACACACA